TTGTATCCCTCTGTTCTTATCTATATGTCACCATTGTTTTCTTATATAGGCAAAACATATACAGTTAGAAATTTTAACACATTTTTTATCAAAAAATTATAAAATATTCAAAGAGAAAAAGGTATTCTGAGTACTGGAACAATTGTCTCTATGGGATTGGCTTTTCACAAGGCCCTAAATCGTGTATAGCGTTGTTCAATAAAAATTAGTCACGTAACAAGCTAAACTTGACTTTATAGGCACCTCCCTAATTATTATGTACCCTCATTTGATTTAACTCTTAACTCCCAACTAATTCTCTTATTCTTAATTCCATTAATTTTGCACCAAATTTCCTCTCCATAAATACCGAAAGTTATCACTAGCTTTTGCACACAACACTCAAAACAAATACATTTGTAGTACTATATCATCCTCTACTATTTCTATCGATCTTTACTCAATTTTTGTAACAATGGAAATGTTTGGCAAAATTGCATGCTTTGTGCTTTTGTGCATGGTGGTGGTTGCACCCCATGCAGAGGCACTGAGCTGCGGCGAGGTTACATCTGGCTTGGCTCCTTGCCTCCCTTATCTTCAAGGAAGCGGTCCTATCGGAGGGTGTTGTGGTGGTGTTAAGGGTCTTTTGGGTGCAGCCAAGACCCCAGAAGACCGGAAAACAGCATGCACTTGCCTTAAGTCGGCAGCTAATTCTATTAAGGGAATTGATACGGGAAAAGCCGCTGGTCTCCCTGGAGTTTGTGGAGTCAGCATTCCTTACAAGATCAGCCCTTCCACTGATTGCTCCAAGTACGTGATTTTCCTTATATTAATTGACAGTATAATATTTCTTTATGTTTCACGATATATAACATAATTTTAATTTACATATATCTATTGATAAAATTATATGTTACAAAACAATATATATGTGTGTACGCGCATACTATATATTAATGTTGATTTAATATTGCATTGCAGGGTCCAGTAAGGTTGATGAAATTAAAGATAAGTCTATATATAGCTTGCAGAGATGAAGAATAAGATGGATATATATCGATCGAGTTTGATCCATCATTATATATGTTGTCTCTTTTCTTTTGTATTTGTGTCTGTTGGAGTACTTATATATTGTAGTCTTGTAATGAACATTGGTGGTTGCTTGTGTTACAACCCAATCTTCATATAGTAATACATGATATTTTCTTCTTTAAACTTTTCTTAACTATTAATTATTCAACGATGGTACAATTATTTTTACACTAATTATGATTTTGGTAATTCTTAAGAAAAGGATGACATAACGTTGGAATTTGAGAAATTACATCGATGGGTGCATAAATTAACCATATTTTAATTTGTTTCATATCATAAGTTCTTCAACAAAAGCTATGATACATAATTAAAGCAAAAGAGAAACTACGGAAGTGTGAGCATATAATATATATATATAAACGTATATCAATGTTAAGTGTACAAGAAAATTAATAATCACTTATATTTGGAATGATGGTAGGTAGGGAAAAAGATTTGTGATGATTGTCCATGTATAACTACCAATTCCTAGCTCCTCACCAAGATAAGAAAAAGAAAGAAATTTCATTGACTCTGGTTGATAAGAACTAGGGGTATTCACGGGTTGGTTTGGATCGGTTATTGGTCAAAATTAAAATCAAACCAACTTAATCGGTTTTAAAATTATCAAATCCAAACCAAACCAAATATAATATACATTTATCAGTTTCGGTTTGGTTTGGTTCGGTTATTCGGTTATTAACCATACTCAAAAATAAAAGAAATAATTCATTTAAAATGTGAAAAAAGTGACAACAATCCATTCAAAACGAAAAATAGTTAGAATGACTTAAATTACTAAACTTTCAATCACTAAATTTATTATCAATAAAGCTTTAAAATTCACTATATTGGCCTAGAAGGAAGAGACAATAACATTTTCAGTCCCACAAAAAATTGACATAGACACTCATATACATGAAATCAATAAGATAAATGTTTCATCTTGG